ATGGAATTAAGTTAGTATAAATGTAAACTAAATTTTGATATTTTAAAGTGCAAATTGTAATCCCTAAGACAACCACTAAGAAAACCATTCAAAATGTAATTTAAAAACTTATTAAATTAATCAAATTTTTACATTAGAAAATATGTACTTAATATAAAAGAAGGTAGTACAGGAGAAGCAGAGAAACAAGGCAATACATGAAACATATGAAAAACTAAAGGAACATGGGAGATACAAGTCTTACCATATCAATAACATTAAATGCAAATGAATTCAATAACGTAAACAAAATACAGAGGTGACCAGATTGGATAACAAAACAAGATTTAACTATATGTTGTCTCCAAGAAAAACACTTCCATTTCAAAGATACAAATAGGCTGAAAGTAAAAGATGTAAAATATATAACAGGAAAATAATCATAAGAAAGCTGGAATGGATACAGTGATGTCAGACAAATCTATTTCAAAACAAAACAATGTCACTAAAGATAAAAAGGGACATTTCATAATGATAGTCAATGCATCAAGAAGATATACAATTATAAATACATATATATGTAACATCAGAGCCCCAAATACATGAAACAAAAACTGACAGAATAGAAGACAGAAACAGGCAAGTTAACAATAATAGTTAGAGCCTTCAAAATCACACTTTGAATAATGGATAGAACAAATATCAGATGATTAACCAGGATTTAAAGGACATGAACGACACTACAAACCACTTAGACACAACAGACCTACATAGAGAGCACTCTATCCAACAATAGGAGAATTATACATCCTTCCTAAGACCGTGTGGAACATCCTCCATGGTAGACCATGGAAGATAGACTATAGAACAAGCTCAATAGATGTAAAATACATTTTCCAACAACAATGGAACTGAATTTGAATATGTGATTAAAATAACACACTCCTAAATGGTCAATGGATCAAAAAAGGAATCACAAAGGAAACTAGAAAATACTTTTCTGATAAATGAAACATAACAAACATATGATGAAGCTAGAGCAGTGCTCATAAAGAAATTTATAGGTATAAATGTACATATTAAAAAAATAAGAAATATCTCCTATCAATAACCTAACCTTCCACCTGAAGAAACTAGAAAAAGTAAGCAGAAGGAAGGAAAGGNAAAAAATAAGAAATATCTCCTATCAATAACCTAATCTTCCACCTGAAGAAACTAGAAAAAGTAAACAGAAGGAAGGAAAGATTAAAGATCAAAACAGAAATAAGTGAAATAAAGAATATTAAAACAATATAGGAAAAAAGTCAATGAAACCAAAAGTTGGTTCTTTGAAAATATCAACAAAATTAAAAGTCCTTTAGCTAGACTGACCAAGAAAAAACACATAAAGAAGACTCAAGTTACTAAAATAGGGAATAAAAAGAAGGCATGTCACTACTGATTTTACAGAAGTCAAAGGGACTGTGAGATAATATGAACAACGGTGTGCCAGCAAATTAGATACCTTGGATGAAATAGACAAATTCCTAGAAAGACACAAACTATCAAAACTGATTCAAGAAGAAAGCTTCTACAAATTTAGAAAGTAAGGACTTTGAACTAGGGCTAGGCCTAAATGGCTTCGCTGGTGAATTCTACCAAAATGTAAAGAATCATTGGTATCCGTCCTTCACAACCTCATTCAGAAAACAGAAGAGGTGGGAACACTTTCTAACTCGTTCTATGATTTTGGTATTATCCTTCCTTTACCAAAACAAGACAAAGACATCACAAAAATAGAAAACTACTGACCAATATCCCTTATGGATACTGACACAAAAATCCTCAACAAAATACAGCAATTATAAAACATAATCCAGCAACATATAAAAAGCATTATATACAATGAGTAAGTAGGATTCTTTCATGAATACAATATTGACTTTTAAACATTTGAAAATCAATGAATGTAATAGACCATATCAATAGCATAAAGGAAAAAAGAAATCGTCTTCAAAGATGCAGAAAAAGCATTTGACAAATCCAATAAAATGTTTCATGGTTGAAAACATTCAATGAACACGAAATAAAAGGGAACTTCCTCAATCCCATAAACGGAATCTACAAAAAACCTAGCTAACATCAGACTCAGTGGTAAAAGACTGAATGCTTCCCCCAAGGATCAGGAATGAGACAAGAATGTCTACCCAGGTAAATTAGGCAAGAAAATAAAATAAAAGCCTTTCAGATCGAAAAGAAAGAAGTAAATCTATCTCTGTTTGCAGATGACATAATACTGTGTGTGGGCAATGGTAATTGATTAAAGTATCACCCCGCACCTGTCAGAACGGCTGCCATTGACAAATCCACAAACGACACGTGCTGGTNAGATGACATAATACTGTGTGTGGGCAATGGTAATTGATTAAAGTATCACCTCGCACCTGTCAGAACGGCTGCCATCGACAAATCCACAAACGACACGTGCTGGCGAGGGTGTGGAGAAAGGGGAGCCCTGGGACACTGCTGACTGGTGCAGCCACCATGGAAACCAGTGTGGAGGGTCCTCAAGAAGTTAAAAATGGAGTAGATCAGTGGTCGCTTATAGTATGGCTGGGAAGGGGTGGGATGGAGAGTGACCGTTAATGATTTTTTGGGGGTGATGAAAATGTTGTGAACTAATCTAAGCTGATTGTGGTCAACTTGATAATGAATAGTCCAAAACCCATTTGAAATGGTGAATTTTATGGTATGTAAATTACGTCTCAATAAAAATATTTTAAAAACTAAAAAGAATCCCTAGGACTGATGGGAGAGAGCGGTTATACTGGGTGACTCCAGGGCATGACTCCTGACTGGGGGTCCACTACGGTTCTCTAAGCTGGAGGTGGTGCTGCACCCTCTCCAGGCTCAAGCACTGGGATCTGGAGTTGAGAAAGAAGCTTTGGATCTGCACTGGCCTTGCCCTTGGTGGTGTTTCTTCAGTGCTTCCTTACTCTGGGGCTTTCTTACTGTGAGGTCCCCACGGTAGCAGAGATGCGCGGTCAACACCGACTCTGGTGATTTGTCATCTGAAGAGCACTTTCCCCAACTTTCTTGGTTGTGATCGCACCAATCCTGAGAGAAAGTGTTATTTCCCGTAACAGGGGAAACTGAGGCCAGAGGGGTGAAGGGGGTTGGCCAAGTTCAGTGAGCATGTTAGTGGGAGATTTAATGAATCCAAGCCCAGTGTTCTTTCTACTTCCAATTACTCTGTTTCACATCTACACAATGTCTGGTCTGCCTTCTGCTGAGAACGGGAGCTGGGCCACACTCAGGTCAGCCCTTCTGGTTCACTCTCAGCAAGAACGGGGGCCATCACAGCATCTGTGCAAGGATAGCAGGGGATGGGATGCGGTTGTCTTGGGCTGAGGCTCAGATGGAGACACATGGTGTCCATCTGCTCATGAAGAGGTGCCAATTTCTTGCTTGGTCCAGACAGAGGTGAGGGCTCTGGTCTATTTAATGATCTCATCTCAACCTGTTTGTCTTTTCTAGCAATAAGAGAGCTTGAAAACTTTACTTTGTTAATCTCAGTAAGATCATAATTGTTTGGCCTTTACTGCTGCAGCAGACTCTCCCTTAACTGACAGGCACCAGGAAGCCTAGAGGTCTCAGTCACAGGCACATCTTACCAGCGGGAACTCCCAGTGTCCCCCCTCCCCCCCAAGACACAACAAAACAATGCTCAGGGGTCTACAGAAATGTTTATTAAATGGGATCCAACAGCTCCGACATTACACTTCTGGGTGTGCTTCTTGGGTGTAACCCGGTCATCTGTCCAGCTTGGCTGCCTGGGCTCCTGAGAACGGAGCAGGAGCACCAGGTAGCAGAGGCTGGCTGCATCCATGCTGTGCCCATCACATGCCCCTTCTCCACGTGGCAGGGGCAAGAGCCTGGGCTCCTCACTTGGGTTCCTTCTGTGCACAGGCGGCCTGTCCAGGCCACCCCCCCATTAAGAATTGGGCGCAGTTCCCACCTACCCATAGCCACGTTCCACAGTATTCACCCTCCGCTGGCTGTGACTCTCAGATCCTGAAGTCCCTCCTGTGGCAGTTAAAGAAACAGCTCCACCACTTCCACCTGGAGGGCCTATGGAAATGCGTTTGTCTTCTTTTCGCTTAGTTTTACAAAAGAACTGAGTTATTGCAGAAAGAGTTATTTGGGGCGCTTGCTGTGTTTAGGCACCAAACTGATCCAAGCTTCTGGTTGGCTATTTCCATACATTTGCAGGAATGAACACACTTTTCTCACCTACACCGGAAAGCGAGCTCTGAGCCTGCCCTGCGGATCCTCGGTATTTGCTCAACAGACCAAAGGAAGCCCTGTGGCTGTTTCTCCGATTGCTCGTTAATTACGTTTGTCTATGAAGAAGGGTGTTTGCTCTTCCTTGCAACAAACCCATGGACCAAAGGACACTTCAGAAATGAAAGCTACTTCACAAATCCTTTAACTAAGGAATATCTGATTCAAGCGTCTGCTCAATCCAGTTAACTGTCACTTCCCCGGCTTGCTTGCCCTGTGGGCCTGCAGCCTGGCCTCCCCTCCCCATCTGAGCAATCTCAGTGGGGGTTGGGGCCTGGGGCCACCTTTAACACCTGCCTATGGACATATGTAAGCTGCCAGCACGTCCTGTGCCTTCAGAGCTGCGTGCCACCTAGGAGATGGGACGAGCCATGATCCTTGCTGAGTGCTGGGCCCTGTGTCCGGAGCAGCAGGAGCCTGGCGGCTTCTCCTGGGCTGAGGCCGCCTTGTGTGAAGTGGGAATGATGGTCTCTGGGGAAAGCACAAAGATGTCCTCACTCCGTGTCCAAGAGGAAGAACCCGCCCGGCTCGAGGCAGCGTGGGCTTCAATTGCGTCTCCCTTAAGGCCACTTTAGGACCTATCATGCCGCTGATGGTCCTGGAGGCCCGGTGGAGGAGGTCTGGTCACCCCTTGAAGAGCTGGCCTAGGAGGACCCCGGGCTCCCTGGAGGGCCCACGGATATCCGGGAACTCCAAGCGGGCCGCTCTTCTAGGCAGAGCCTTGCTCAGTGTCTCCCAGGCTGGAGCAAGCAGCTCAGAAGAGGCTGGTGCCCGAGAGAGAAGACAGGAAGAGTGGGGCCTGTGGGGGAGGGATGATGGGGGTGGTGTCAGAGCTGCTCTCCTCGGGCTCGCTGTCCTCGGGATCCAGGCCTTCGGCGAGGGCGGGGATGATCCTGACCACGCGATCTTCAAAGTGCACCTGCTTCTTCCTGGCCGGCGAGCCTGCTGGCTCCGGAGTGAGCTGTGTCAGGGCCTCGGGGTGCTGGAGGGTGCTGGGCCTCCTGGCCCCCTTCAGGATGCACTTCATGTGGGTGAAGAGGGAGCCGGGCCCCTCCTTGAGGGCTCCGTGGAAGGTGTAGGTTTGCTCGGTGTCCCCGGAGCCGGTGGTGCTCCTGGCACTGCTGGAGGGGTCCGTGTACTGCTCCTGGAGGGCCAGCACCCCGGGGGCAGCCTTGTTCTTCTTCCGCTTGCTCAGCAGGAAGTAGGCCAGGCCAGTGAGGATGAGCATGGAGCCTGGAAGAGATCTGGGCCGTCAGAGTGCTAGGTGTGTCCCAGAGAAAAGCCCACCGTTCCAAAAGGCCACGGCGCACACCGTGTGGCCCCCTCAGGCTGCCTGTGCTCCAGCCCTCACACCTACCTGTCCTCACACGCCCACAGCAGACTCGGGCAGGCCTGATGCCTGGCTGAGGCATGTCGGCAGGGTCAGTGCCGCGCTAGGACCCTCCCCCGGATGGTTTACGATGGGCCCTGTGCCTCAGGCTCCCTTCCTATTGACAGCCCAGCCTAGGGCTGCCTGAACAGCCTCCATCACCACACTCAGCTTCCTCTTAGTGCAGCTTATTGGAGCTGGACCTGTGATCCCTTCAGGGGGTCTGGATTCCATGTTGGATGACAGGCCCCACCTGCTGGACAGGACGTCCTTCCCGTCCCAGGAGTGGGAGACTGCCTTCGCTGTAGCCTCTCCAATAAACACAAGGAAAGTACAGACATCGGTCCCCTTCCGGCCCTCATGCAGCTTCCAGGCCAGAGGACCTGCTGTCCCTGGCTGAGACCTACTGCTCTGGGTTCGCTGTGCAGAGGGAGCAGGGATGGTGGCTGTCCTGCCTGCTGGGGTCAGAGCCCTGTGGGCCTCTCTTCCCTTCCGAGGAGCGGGGGCCGTGGCTGACTCTAGCTCTGCAGTGCTGCATCCTGCTCAGGAGTCCATGGAGCGGAGTGGCCCTGAGGGGCTATCGCAGGGGCGTTCAGAGAAACTGCAAGAAGGAAGGAGGGGCTCTGCCTTCCAATCTTGTCTCCCTGGGCAGTTTGCTTCCTGGATTTTAGGTGGGTCACGAGAAGGGGTACAGCTTTCACAGCTAGAAGTGGGGCAGAGAGGGCGTTAGCAGAAAAGGTCCTGAACAAAACCCCCGGGGTGGAAGCCTGAGTCCGGCTTTTGTGGTCAGGCACCGGCTGACCAGCAGGCCTGTGAGTGCAGTGGGAGATGCTGAGCTGAGAGGGTCTTTGGGGTGTGCTTTCCAGACCAGGCCGAGGACTGTGGACCTGAGTCAGCAGGCACTAGGGAGACACGGTGGGTTTGGGTAGAAGCATGTCCGTCTCACCCCCTGAAAGCTCAGTCCATACGCAGGCTATGACAGAAGGCAGGTTCCTCGTGGGGGTGCAGCCTCCGGACACCTACACGAAAGATGCACCTCTCGGCACATTCCTACCATGTAATCAGCCTGGAGGAGGTCTGAGGGGTCGTCATCCCCACGACCTGAGCCAGAGCGGGCAGGGGGGCCAGCGGGGGCCCTGGAGCCAGTGTCACTGCAGGCTGGGGTGAGGGCNTCATCCCCACGACCTGAGCCAGAGCGGGCAGGGGGGCCAGCGGGGGCCCTGGAGCCAGCGTCACTGCAGGCTGTGGTGAGGGTGCCACCCTCCCTGCTCAGAGTCTGCCTGGGGGGGGCTGCTGCTCCCTCCCTCCTGGAACTCCTACCTGGGATGGTCACGTGCCAGACCAGGACAGGGTGGAGGAAGCAGGCCACGGACAGCAGCATGTAGGCCAGGAACTTCTGGAAGCAGCCCAGCCAGCGGGCCTTCTCCCGTGCTCTGTAGGCCAGGGACCCTGGCTGGCACCTGGGAGGAAAGAGGGCAGGATTAGGAGGAGGCAGGAAGCAACTCTGGGAACCCCGGCAACTCACGAGGCTGCGGAAGTGCTCTGCTGTGGCCACCGTCCCGGCAGCAGCCTGGCTGAACACTCGGGGCGGGAGTCCTCAGTCAGGGGCCTTGCCTGTGCTCCCCCAGAGGGACTGCAAGGCAGTAGCAAGGAGAGGAGGAGACTCCGGGGTCCACTGGGAAGCCCCAGTAAGGTGGAGCCGGTGTGCAGTACAGGAGACCCCTGGTTGGCAGGGTTGTGCGGATTGGGCGCTGCACAGGGACCTGGCTGCATGGTGGAGTCCAGCTGAACCTGCTCAGAGTCTTGCTTGGACATAAAATCACACCAGCCCAGAGGGGCTTCGTAACTGGCATGCAGAGTCCATACATGGGCCTGGCAGAGGCCTGACACTGAGCAGGTTTCTTCAGGGTTGCTGCCTCCAGGCTTCAAAGGAGGAGAGCACTTGCTTTAGGTCCATGTCCTTGGTCCTCTGAATTGGGCTGGAGCAGGGGTCTGCACAGCTCCAGCCTGCCCAGGCCAGCTTTGGGGAGGGACGGGGGCTGGCGCGTGGGGTGTTGGCCCAGAGCACAGAACCTCCTGCATACCCGCGGCCACGGCTCTTTGGTTCCCCCTGGTGGCCATTCTTTTGTGACCAGACCCTAGCTGGGTGTGGAGCAGTCCAGAGCTGGTAAAATGCCCTTTAAGCCTAGGGCTCCTCCCGCCCCTGCCCCCAGAAGCTGCAAGGATCCCTTGGCAGTGGAGGCTACTTACTGGAAGCAGAAGGTCAGCAGCTGAGCCACGAAGTAGGCCCCTTCACACACGGAGACGGCGGCGCCTGTAAACCTATGGCGGAGACAGGGAGGGAGGCCGGGCACCCTGACTCTCCCTCCCCTTTCCTGTGGGCAGTCTTCTCACAGCACCAGCTGACCAGGGGGGTTTCTTGACCTAATCCTGTCACCCGACCAGCATCCACCAGGAGCTGTCTGGATGCCAGGGCCTGCGCTGGGTTGGGCTGTGGTGGTGGAGGGGTTTGGCCGGGGGGTGCAGAGGGAGGTGAGGAGGGAGCTGCAGGCCAATAGGAGAGACCACCTTGACCCCAGCACCCCCGTGGGGACACTGGCAGGAGTCCTTCTTCCTACTGTCACCAGGACGGGTTCCCACGGCCTGACTGTGAGTCTTAAAACTGGATCCATTCCCGAACTCCTTCCTCCTTCCTCTTTCCCCATCGGACACAAGGCCACAGGACAGGCTGATCGTGTTCCCTAAGAAATCTCAGAACCAGTCCCGTTCCCTCTGGCCTCACCTGTGCAGCCGAGTTTGGGCTTCACCCCCTGGACACCGGCACTG